CAATAGGGTCTTCGCACCCTTTTGGTGCTCGGACCCTAATAATACATGTGAAGCAGCTCTGTGCTACACAACAGCGCCTCCTGCCTGCTCCCGTTTCTGCCTTTAAACCCTGAATGAGAGAATCGGGTCGAACCGACCGAACCTCCGCCGACATGAGGACACTCTGCTGCGGCCCTTTTCCCTCAAACACACCGAGACACGTTTCCTTAAAGCAGGAACGAGATAAACAGCGAATAAAAAAAAGTTCACCTGGACTGAAAACTTAGAAACTCTGAGAGACTCTGACTGAACTTTTCCTCCGTCAGACGGAGTTGATTCTGAGGTCATTAGAACGCTTCAGGAGCGTTTAATTGAATGTAAATAAAAGTAAACGGAGCGTCTATTTGCTCCAACCAGCCGCTTCTTCCTACCTGCTCGTGTTTCACCGCGTCGAGCTGCCGCCGGGCTGAGATTTAGCGACTTCTTCCCGGTTACAGCGGAGGAGGAGCGTCCGTCTGCCGGTGCCCTGCCAAATAGAGATCCTCTACCGAAAGCTCATCCCCTGCCAAATAGTGATCCCCTGCCAAATAGTGATCTAGTAGTAAACACTGATCCTCTGCCAAATAGTGATCCTCTGTCTCAGTTTCGGTCTGCAGCAGTTTTATCTGATCAAACTTTGAACCTGCGGAAACAATGAAGGTTTGTATGTGAATAGTTTTACTGAAATTGAATAACTGAGACTGAAGAAATGTTTGTAGAAGACATTCAATATATCTACGGTTGCAGTGATTAGCAATCAACTAAATGAATCATCAATTTACTGGTTTGATTCTTGTTTTTTTGGAAAAAGTAAAAGTTCTCTAACTAGTTAAAACTGGATATTTTGTAGTTGCCATAATTCTCTTTTTTTGTGGATTGTGGACAAAACAAGACATTTGAGGACGTTAACGTTGGCTTTAGGAAACTAAACCAGTTTATAAACCAAAGAACTAATCGATTTATGCAGATTAATCAACAGTGAAAATATAGATCAGTTTATGGGCAGTTTTATGACGATGTCTGATCTGTGGGGCGTGTCTAGTATCCATGTTTAGACTGTAATTAACATAAATGATGGTTTATTTTATCTATAGATAAATATCTCAGTTATAAGTCTGTTTCTGGCAAATCAAAAATATCATTATCAGACTGAACTGGTCCTTAAATCTGTTTAAACCGCTACTAAATGACTGAACGGCTTCATTAGAAGGTTAAAATCAGGCAGTGACACGAGGATTGGTTCCAGTTGGAGATGACGTCACAGCCTCGTGTCGTCAGCCAACCAGAGCCCTGAAAAAGATTTGCGTCAGCGGAAGTCGAAACTGCTCGTGGTACGTGACTCCTTTCCGGAAGTTGTACGCGGGTAGTTTAATCTTAAAATAGGAGGAGAACGTATCGCGATTTTTGGTCAACAGTAATAAATAAGTTAATTAATTTACCAGATTTCTAAACACTGATCACATGAATGTGTTTTGATTAGTGAACTTCAGGGTGGGAGGATCAGTTCAAATTGTGTTGAGGCTCTTAGTTATTTTTTATTTTTTTATTTTTTTGTTTTTATTGTCCCTAGGGGCTAAATAAAGTTATTTGAATTGAATTGAATTAAAAGTTAACTCTGCTAAAGAGCTGCTGCTGTTTATTGATTAGAATATTTTATTATGTTCTGAAATGTGTCTGTAGCTTAAAATCAATCAAATTTTAATAATTACTGACATATTCAGAGGGAGGAGAAGATCAGAGATATTTTCTAGGCAGAACTTGTGGTTCCAGTGATCCAAAGGTAACTTAAATTAATTCATTTTTCATTTTATTAAATTAATTTAGGGCCATAATGTGATCTGAATAACTGACAGCAGCATTGTGACAGATGTGATGTCTCAGAAAAGTGTGTTTTATTTTGCTGCTTGCCAACCCTGAGCTCTTATCATCATTACAGTGACACGAAATATATTCAAATTCATGACAACTTTATTGTCCACGTTTTGTAAGTTTCTCCTGCAAGTGCAAACATCTGCAAATAAAAACACACATTAAAAAACAGAACATCTAGACAGGACTCAAAGAACATTTTGTATACCTTTTGTCTTGTTTCAGTGCACTTAGTTACTACAACAAAGCTGTGAATTAAATATATAATGATCTCAGAAAAGTGAAAGTCTGTGTCTTTTGTTGTGTCTCCTCCATGAATCGCTGTGACGCTCCAGTCGCTCTGAGAAAGCTCGTAGGTCTTGGGATGATGCAGCTCGCTTATCGAGGAACATTTATTAGAAACATAAAACCAGGAGCTGCAGTTTTACACCGAGACTGTGTCTGAACACAAACTCCAAATGAACAGAAGAAGAACTGTTCATAAGAACTTCATTCAGAATAATACGACTTCATCAGAACAGCACAATTAAACGTGGATTATTAAATTGCAGATTTCTGTTAGTTGTTGATCTGATAACTGATCTTCATATTGACGTATGAAGAATATGTAAGTCTAAATGAATCCAAACTGTCCATCACATCCGGTCCTGATTTTCAGGACACTTAAAACACTTGGAAAAGTTTTTTTTTGTGCTAATTTTCTCTCTGATTGATGTTTATTTTGTTGAAACACTGCAAAATCAGAGACTTTTCAACATGTGTAGTTACTGAAGGAGGAAAGGAGGGACGCCTGAGATGGGATGTGATTTCATAAACACCAGTTCTCAGGAAAAAAAACAAAGAAATGAACACTTTAAATGTTTTCAACTGAGTTTTTCAGTTTTCTGACGTCTGCTATGCTTTTTCTTGTTTTTAGGGTTTATTGATGAGTTTCTAAATATGACAGTTGCCACAGACACACAGAGAAGATAATAATAATAAACTTTATTTGTATAGCACCTTTAAAGGTGCTTCATAAAGTGCTTTTACATAATAAAGAATTACAACGCAGTGAGACAAGGCGACAGAGGACAACAACATGTATAAAAAGTGCAGGCAAACACTCAAAGTATAAAAATACACAGTAAAAATGAAAAACAACAGGCTGGGTCACTATTAGAAGGTGTATTATAATAAAACTAGTAAAACTGATTAAAAAGACGACATCACAGAGAGGAATTAAGATAAAAGTAGACTAAGAAAGAAAAAAGAGAGGACAGCAGCCAGTACCGATATGAAAGCGAAAATCTAAAAGAGAACATCACTCAAAAGCGAGTCTATAAAAGTGGGTTTTAAGAAGTGATTTAAAAGAAGCAAATAAATGAACTGTGTTATGATCTGTTGAATAGATTTTTTCAAACCTTAAGAACAAACTTCTTCTCAAGTGACAGCTATTTAATATTTGCTAAAATACACGTTTAGGTGAGGATTTCCTACTTTCCCAACTGGACAACGATACAACGAGATTCACAGAAAAACATGTAGGATGGAAGTCTGCTTTATTCAGGAACACACACGAGCTGTCACGAAGACACAGCTCCGCTAATCAAGTAGATGAGAATGAAAATAATTACAGATTCTGCAGGAAGTGATGGGAGTCCCCAGCACGGCCCCCCCCAAACCAGTCCAGCGTCACCGGTATCAGACACTGGTACAAGGATTGGGAGTGACCAGACCGAGGAAGCGCGTTCACGCTCTGAAAGTCATCAGAGCTTCTGTTAAAACTGCTGCAAACTGTATCAGATCAACACACTGCAGTCAGAACAAGTGACACTAGTTTCAAGATAATTCTGGCAAAAACTTGGTTTCAAAACTTTGGATTCGTCACATTAAAGACGAGATTTTAAAAAACCTAAAACGTTCTCCATTTCCAACATGTTCCACTGGCTTCCTGCGGCATAAAGCGAGTTAGTAGTTTGATCTGTACCTCCTGCAACACAAAGCGTTTCCTCCTCAGGCAGCTGCTCTCTGCTGTTCCTTCATCTGGACCTTCTCTGGATGGATCCTCATCTGCTGCTCTGGTCCACGGATCCTGACCCCGGTCCTTCTATCTATCCTCCGTCCCCCCGTCTGTCCCGTCTCACCCCCCGAAAATCAGTGTCGATCAGAGCTGCAGCCAATAGGGAGGCAGCAGCGGCGGCGGCAGCAGGGTGAGGCACTTCCTCTGCGACAGGAAACCAACAACAAACACCCAGAGAGGCGAGGGGGGGAGGAGGAGGAGGAGGAGGTTAATGAGAGAGATAACGAGATGCTGAAGTCTGATGGCTCCAAGTTCAGTCTTAAAGGTCGCAGAGAGGTCAGCCGGTACTGAGTTCTGAATAAAACGGGCTTCACTGAGGTTTGGACTCTGCTGTAAACTAAAAACTGATTTATTGTCGGGGCCTGATGAAGGCAGAGTTTAGAATTTAGAACATTTACATCCAGTGCAAGTCACGGTCCAGCTGAAAAATGACATGTGACATGAAAACTCAGAGGACACAGACTGAGGACAGAAGTGTGGTGTGCAGCTTTGTGGAGTGGTGTGAGATGTAAGAGAAAGGCCAGAGCTGCCTGTTGATCCTCAGGAGACCCAGATCTTTGAGCATCTGCAGAACCACGCTGCAGATGTTCTGTCAGCGCCATGTTCTACCTGTGAAGGCAGATCAACAGCTGGTTCTGTCCCAGGAGCTGCAGTCTTTGAGGAAACTCATATTGTAATCTAATAATACGTTTTTATAACGATGCTGGTAGCTCTTATTACTGTGGTGTGTCAGCATACGTCGCTAACGCAGGCTAGCTAAAGGAATGTTTTACAGTCTAACGTGAGCAAGCAGCAGATCTCCGGCTGGGAAACGATGCAGCGACACGAAGGACCCGTGTTCAAAGCTGCAGATAAAGAGAAGTGTTGTGGATAACTGCAGGGTGGAGGGTCCACAGGGGATCGCTGTTTATGAAGCACGTCTAATCTCGCTTATTATCTGCGGGGCCATTCTTCACCACGCCATTAACTCCAAACTGCATCGCCATAGCGACCAGACAACCTGGATGTGACTGACCTTATATGGTCGAGTCTGAGAGGTTTTTATCTGTGCAGAAGATGGGACTCTTCCTCCATTATGCTTATCAGGATTCCCTATTTTCTGTTTGTTTGGTCTTGCTCATTTTGTTAATGATACACTCTTCAACTTGAAAGAACATATTCTGTTTCTAGAATATTTTTTTTATCAGCTATTAGAGAATGAAGGTATTCAGAGTGTAAATAAACTACTTAGGTTTTCTTTTTCCCCCAAATATAAAAAGTGCATGTGTTTCTCTGAGCAGGACGTGTCACCTTGTCAGTGAATATTTCTTTCAGGCCACCTTTCAGTGAACAGGAAATCCACAGTCACATTGGCAGGAAATGCTGCTGTTCACACACAGAAATCAACATTTAAGGGAAACACAACCACCAACGCCACTGTTTCAGAACATTCTGGTTTTCTCACCTTTCTTACAAGCTGTAGTTATTATCACAACTCTGCAAAGAAATAATTCTGCCCTGAACTTGTGTTTTTCAGCCGTACAATGCCATAACTTAACTATT